GGTACAGTGGGTGGGCGGGGTTGGCGAGGATGTCGGCCGCCAGCTTGCAGAGGACAGCATCGCGACGCTCGCTCAGAGTCTCGAGGTTGAGGAGCTGGCAGGCAGAGGCGTAGTCGGTGTAGTTTTCGTATCCTATCATGATTTTGCAAGCTCTTTTCTGAACTTGCTCGATTGCTTGTGCTTGTTGCTGTGTCAGTCCCGTGTGCCACAGTTGAGAGCAGTATTCCAGACATGGACGAATGAAGCTGATGTAGACGGCGCGGATATCGCTCAGATCTGCATGGAACTGACGGAGGACTGTGAGCATGAACAGCCTGCGAGAGGCGTTTTTTGTGATATGATTTGTATTTGCCGTCCACTTTAAGTCAGAAGTAATATGGACTCCGAGAAGTTTCATGGTAGAGACGACAGGTACTGGCTCGTTGTTAATGATTACTGCGCCGTCCATATCCGTGTTGTGAGAGAAGTTGCAGATGAGTATATGACACTTTTTTCCGTTGATCTTCATGAGATTGTTCTCTGACCATGTTTCCAGAGTGGATGCGGCCGTCTGGGCTTTCTGAAGGACAATGTTTGCATCTCTTGCAGGAGACAGGATGCCGATACTGAGGTCGTCCACATACTTCCATCGATGATCTTCGGTAACTGCGCAGTCATTTATATGAGCCAAAAATGCAATCGGGGCGATTTTTGTCCCTTGGGGCGTTCCACACGTGGTAGTGAGCTCTGATGAGACAGGATTCGAGCCACCAAGTCGAACGACCTGTTTCCGCTCGTTGAGGAAGCTGGCTACTGTAGGCACGATGGAGGGACGAACTTGCTGGTCCAGTAGTTTCCTGAGCACGACATCATGGCTAACCAGGTCGAAGGCCTTGGAAAAATCGATCGCCAGGATGGCCGCAGCGTTTGAAGAGCTGTCTGTGTTCTTAGCCAGGAAGTCATATAGCGAGATCAGGTAATGTACTGTAGAGTAGCCTGGCCTGTTTCCGAACTGGTGTGGGTCAAGTGATGGGGTAATGTCAGCCATGATCCAGGTTGTCAAAAATCCTTCAAAGATTTTGGAGAAGAGCGGGGTGAGTGAAATGGGTCTAAGATCGTTGAAAGAGGTTGGAGGGTTGGCCTTGGGAATGGGGGTGATGAAGGATAGCTTCCAAGCAGACGGAAATTTTCCGGAGGATAGCGAGGAGTTGAAGATGTGAGTGAGTGGCTGCGATAATTCGAAGGCAAACTCCTTGACCAGCCGTGCTGGTAGCTCATTCGGTGTGGTGGAGATGTTGGAGCGGATGCTGCTCAGTTCCCTCTGGACGTCAGCTCGTCGGATGACCGGTGGGGGTGCGTCCGCCGGTAGGTAGGCAGGGAATTCCTCCAGGTTGAGTGCCGGCAGCTGGGATGAGATAGATGCGAAGTGCTGGTTGACCGCTTCCGCCAGCGCCCCACCAGTCTCATACTCAGCGAAGTTTAGCTGTTCGTTCTTTACTCGGCCGGTCAGACTCTTGATTTGACGGTACCAAGTAGCCGGCTTTGCTGTCCTCATTCCTCGTATTTTCCTGTCGTAGAATTCCGCCTTGGCTTTGCGGCACAGATGAGTGGCCTTATTTCGTAGATGTCGCCACCGGTCGGACATGCCCTCGAGTCGGAAAACTCTGTGCTTCTGGGCAATGGCGTGTCGGACGGTGGCGGTGATGTGAGGCTTCCCTCGATGTCGCACTGGCAATGTCTTGGTAGGCAGAAACCGGTCTAGAGCAGTGGAGAGCGTTGACTGCAGCACCGCCACCTGTTCATCGGGGGAAGACGCCTCATATACGGGGGTCCAGTCATGTGCTGTGATCCACCTGCCGAATGCTCTAACTCCCGAGTCCGGCAGCATTCGCACGGTCGTTCGTTCCCTCGGTGTCGGCTGGATGGTGCGCGGTCGAGCGTGCACGATGACGTGCTTGGAGCGCCCGAGGGGCGACAGCATCACAGGCTCGTGATAATAGTCACCCAGATCGGTCAGGATGAGGTCCAGAACTGAGTCCCCGTGCGTGGGGGCTGTTACAATTTGATGCAAACCATTGAGCCGGCAGAGGGACTCAACTGGAAAGCTGTTGAAATCACCGCAGATGATAAATCGAGGGCAGTCATACAGGGTACGGAGCTCATCAATGGCGAACTGAAGGTGCTCCTCGTATTTCACTCGCAGCTCTGCACACGAGCCTGGTGGGAAGTAGACTGTGGCGATGCAGATATTAGATGAACCTGCCGGAAGGTGTTTAGGCCGTAATTGAAGCCATATCACTTCAACGTCTTCCTCAGAGGGTTGGAGGCTATTCAGTAGCTTCACTGGAATAGACTGTCTGACGTAGCAGCCGACGCCACCTCCCCGACGATGCAGTCTGGGTCGCTGAAAGAAGCTGAAGCCGGGGAAATTTGCCTTGTCCTGATCGACCTGCCAGACTTCCGAGATGCAGACAACGTCAGGGGCATACTCCAGTATGTTCGCGTATAGCTCGTCCAATTTATTGTTGAGTGACGTGGGGTTGGTCAGGATTTAATGCACACAAGCTATCTAAGAGCGTTGTCACATTTAGCCTTTTTCGCTGCTGTCAACCACCCCACGTGTTGAGTCACCTCCCCAAAAAACATTTAATGAGAATATGTTGGCGGGGGTGTCTGGTGATTAATATCAAAACAAGATAGTGACATCAGTGGCATTATTTATTTTGCCCTCGCTGGTTCGTCTCGGAGGGTATATTATTACTGTTTGGCCGTATAGCGGGCAAAAGTAAAAATTATTGTCCGATGTGACGTTACTGTAGCCCGAGGGTGACGGCCGAAACATGCTTTATTGTCTGAGGCGTAGCTGAGAGCAACTCGTTGACGTTGAGGTCTTCGTCCAGGGGCTACAATGGGTCACAGAGGTAAATGATTTTTTTCTGCCCTACCCCTAACACTTTATCATTTGGCTAGGCTCCAAGTTCCAACTCGCTAATAAATGTCACTAAATATGTCGCCCGGATCAAAGGAAAATTGAAAAGGGTTAGACCACGCGCGGATTACTATTGCCCGTTGTCATGGTGTCATTAACAAAAATATACAATCCCTCAGAAGGAAATCGAATGTGAAAAATGCGGTCAACAGTCAAAACTAATACCCAGTTTACATACGAGCCATGTAATAATGAGGGATTTTGCACAGCTAATAATCTAATTACAAACGTTTTTATTATCATAAACGTTAACAACTATATATTTGATAAAGAAAATACCTTTTCGCAGCCTCCCTATGGTTGTTGTTGGAAACAAAACGGACCTTCATCGTGAGCGTGAGATCACGTACGAGGAAGGCAAACGACTGGCCGATCAATGGGGTGCCCTCTTTCTCGAGACGTCAGCGAAGCGAAATGAGGTGAGCCTAGTTCGTATAACACTGCAGATGTCAAATTTACCTTCATAGCGTTTTAAGTTCCCTTCACGTGTTCATGTAACGGACTATAAATACCAACTGTCGACGAGTTAGAAATGTTTCCCAATGAGTTTCAACTATTTGATGTACCGAATGTCATGTTTTACCAATTCGATATTCGGTATCTGAAGTTAAGGTTATTGTCGATGTGGTTTGGCAATCAGTTAACTTTAACCATTTTGCTTTCATATGAAAACTCCATGTCTAAATATTATAATGGAAAAGAGCAATTAACAAGTAGGCGAATAAATAGAATGTTCGAGGGCCAAATATCATGCATACCTATATGAAATATCCATTGTGAGTGATGTCATTTGACACGGGCTGGTTTTGGGCTGTGTGTGCCGACAACAGTCGGTGGCGGATGTCTTCAGCCAGCTCGTTGTGGAAATGGAGCGGGCCGATGGAAACGCCCCCAAGGACTCCAACTGTGCCATCCAGTGAGGCAAGCTCTCCGCGGCGGCAAGTAGTGATTTTGGCGTCCCGTGGGAGGACGCTGGCTCGGCCGTGTCAGATTCAGTGAAGTCGATATCGCGGCGCGGGTCGGGCGTGGGAGGGTATGTATGTGTGTGTGCGGGCGGGTGTTGGTATGTATGCATTATGTGCGCATATGTGTGTGGATGAGAGTATGAGCGTTCGTGTTTGTTTGTACGCGCCCGCCCAAGGACGCGAGCTGTCGTGGAGCAAGTAAGAAGGCGGAGCTCGTTATATCGTTGACATATTCAATCGAGCCGAGATGTTCCGCTGCACATGTCGGTGCGTAGATGGGAAGTGGGGTTTATGCATTTTTATGATACTAATTCAATAGACTTTTCCTTGTCTTTGAATTATTCGTTGTGGGTTCAACACACTGGAGCACCACTAAATGTGTGGTGGAGGCGGCTGATGTTATTTTTAACTCCAGTGCTTTGCATACTGTGACTGACGAATGGTTATCGCAAGACTCTTACTAGTGATGAACGTCGTGCCGCAGTCTTGTGCTAGACATTGTCGGCTTTGTACTTGGTCAATGTTCCGGATAAGGCTCTTATAGTTTTTTTTTTTTGTGTGGAAACATTGAGATGAATAAATAAATATATGGTGTGTCACCTTTCCTTGAATGGTACGGTCGCATTGAGGGAAATTCGCTTTTTCAAGGGTCATTTAACCATTGAAGAATATGTAAAATGAGTTCGAAATATGTCACATGTGTGTACTGTATACAGCGCAGCGAGTACCTCACAGGAACGACTCCCGTGTTTTGTCCACTTTTCTCCCCATCTTCCCCCCTCCAATTCAAGCTCTGGTTTGAAACAGAAAGTACTCCCTGTGCTTCTCCGGAGTTTGTTGCAATGCTCCCTGTCTCGACCTGATGACCATCGCATATACATATTGTCATACTTGTAGGCTGTAGCACATAGCAATGTCTTCCTTCAGCAACTGCGTAAGTTATCCAGTGTCTGTCAGCCTACCGTCCCTTTCTTGGTCATAAAATAAGTGGTGTACGTTTGATGATTCGTCGATCATGGCCAGTGCGAAACAAAACTCATAAACGAAGCAAACAAGGTTCAACATGGCGACACATTTAGATCACAGTGGGCACTCAGTTCTTCGATACCAGTTTCCAAGAGATAGCAATGCTATTCTCCCGAACGACGATTGCTGAGCTGTGGTGGACTCTGGGCGATTTTGTTGGACGGCGTGTAGTTGCTCTGAGCGGTCGGTGTCTGCTGGTCGCAGCTCGCCAGCACCAGAGCAGCTCAGCAACCAGCACCAGCAGGCTCAGCAGGTGTCCGCCAGCCAGCAGTGCCAGCGCCGACACCACGCTGGGTAGACCGAGACCCTGCAACACACACAGTGACCTCAGTCATGAATACACGTCTGCCCAACAGACAGGCGGCCCGACAGTCTGACAAAATAGACAAGCAGACATACGGACACATTCAGAGGACTAACAAACAGGTTCTACGGCCCACAGTTTGGCAGAGTGGACTAACAAACATACGGACACATTCAGAGGACTAACAAACAGGTTCTACGGCCCACAGTTTGGCAGAGTGGACTAACAAACATACGGACACATTCAGCAGTCTGACGGTCGCGCAAAACGGACCAACACACGCGCAGCGGACTTACAAAGTGACTTACAGCGGCCCAACAGCCTGACAGGGTGAACTAACAGACGGTACCGCGTCCCGATAGTTGGGACAATTCAGTCTCGCGATTCCATTGACACTTTTTTGTTAACAGCAATAATCTGACCATTTCAGCAGTCGTACGAGTCTGAACTTTCATTTGTATTACACGAGACTGAAGTTCATTTCTGACCTTCATCTCTCGATCATCGCACGATTCCCTCTTGGATAGCTCTCGGTCGGCAGTGTGCTTGAGCAGGCCGCTTTCTATGAGGCGGAACAGGCTGCGGGGCAAGAGGTGAAACTGCCGTCAGCTGTGGCATGAGACCTCGGAATCTAAAGAGTGAAGACTAATGAGTGAATACTTTTTATCTAAATCATCAAAGTTGACTATGGTATGGATGGCCCTTACCGCTTATTTCGAGCCTCGACTCGCGACTGATGAATGAAGTTGTGTCGGGAAAATCGCAGAAGGCGTGATTGGCTAGCGATCGGGAAAAGTAAAGTATGATCTACTTTACCTATACTTACTGGTAATCGAAGAATTGCTTATATGGCGAATGCTTCTGAACTCCAAAGGCGACATTGTGTTTGTAATATTCGTCGTCGAGTTTGACAATATCGCACGTAGCTTCCACTGAAAATTGAAAAGGGAAAATGTTTTCATATTTTCCCTTCTTTTTATAGCTGCTAATTCACAATCAAAATGTTACAGACACGCCTACATAGCGGTCTGAGTCCGTCCAGTTGTGCGACCGGGGTACGACCAAATAACCGTGAACAGAATTCGTACTAAGTGGACAGCTTTGCAAAGGAAATTTATCTGAGAACTCGGCTTCCGACTCCGAAACGTACCGCTTCCTGTCCAGGCGAAATATGCCATCTTCTCTGCTCTGACGTGGTCCCAGCCTTCCTTGTGATCGTGCAGGGGCCAGACGTGTCTCTTGAACACTTGACGATGTGTCGCTGATCTCGAGTACTGGAAGTTGGAACAAAAATGAAAAATGTTTAAGTCGCTGGTATTTTTTCTTAAAAAGATGCATAGATAAATGTTGTAAAAATCATGTACGGTCTCCATCCATTTCTTTGGGCGACCAGCTGAGCCCGCCCGACACCGCATGGCTCCCACCTGGCGAGACCCAAGGCTATAGAGGCGAGGTCACGCTGGTCCGAACTGGGGCGGTACCACACGGTGGGCGATTGAACCGTGCCTTCCAAAGCAGTCGCCAGGGGCGCTGGGGTCGATCTTTTGGTGGCAGATTGTCTGCGAACTATAACTGATGGTTCACTGCAGTGCTGGTGACGGCGTGGCTCATTAACTGTGACAGCCATTTTCTTTTGGATCCGGTGGTTGACACTCGGACCATGGGCTTTCTCAGCGGCCAAGGCCCGTCTCCATTTCCAAGTCCTAAGCAGTGCACCCCTTTCGATATTCACATCCTAGGAACATCCTTTTGACCAATTTCATCGTACTTGCTACTTCTAACCGAAAGTTACTCTTTGCAAGGGCTGCTCTCATTGTTAATGATCTACTTTTGCACGCACGATTCTACTTAATTAATCCTCATTAGCTTTTAGAATTTCGGGTATATTCTTAAAGCACAAAAGCTCCGCAAGTCTCAGGGACTGCTGCCAACGTTACCTTGAAGTAGTCGTACATGGACGTTCCGTTGACGACTCCGAGCCGGTAGGTTCCGTCGTTGAGCAGGCCGTCCAGGCCGTGGAAGGGCAGCACCAGCGACTGGACGGCCAGGAAGGAGACCAGTGTGGCCGAGTAGGCAGCGTGACCGATCACCATCGCCAGGAAGAACGCCCAGAAGAAGAAGCGAGTGCCCATGCCGCCCGGCGTCTCGTCTGCGCCTGTAGTGCGAAAACGGCGGTCACAGGAGCGCAGATGCTCAGTCAGTGTAGTTAATCGGAGGCGTAAGGCGTCTTAAAGAGGCATCCTTCCAGGGCACATAAGGAGCAGATCTCTCATGCCGCTGGTGGAGAAAGAGTCATGCATTGCTGGTGGAGACGAGGCCGAGGGGTCTTATGTCGATGGTTAGGAAAGAGGCCAGATGTCACTGGTCCCACACAGGTAGAGGAAAAGTTACGGTTCGCTGGGCAGGACAATGCGTCTCGCATCGAAGCTCACAGATGTCAAAATTACACCGGGAACGGACTGCTGTTGCGGAGAGTGAGTCGGAGAAGGAGGAGTCTGGTGGTGGAGGTGGGACAGGGGCGCACCTTGCTGGCAGGCGATGCCGAAGAAGCGGAGCAGCGTGTCGAGCGGCCCGTCACTGTCCCGGGGTCGGTCTGTGGCCAGCCAGCGCCGCTCCAGTGTGTACATGAAGGTCATGCTGGCGCTGCCACAAAGCACCGTCAGGCACAAGATCGCCCACAGCGTCCCGTCGAACGAGTCCAGATAGGTTGTCCAGCTGAAGTCCAGGGTGGACGGCTTCTTTATGAATAGGCTGTACCTGTCAAAAAGAACCATCATGCTAATGAACCACACCAGACTTTTGAGAACTTCTGCACTGCAGCGATCAGTTGTCAAAACGGTCGCTTCATTGTATGCAGGCATTCACGCCGGAAACAATCAGCGTCGGCGGCAATGACATCATTATTTTGCCAACGCATGAAACACTACACTGAACTAGCATACACCCTACACAATTATGCCTGTTCGAGCTCACTGTTGAATTGAAACATAACGGGCAGGAAAAGACGAAGTGATCTGCACCGTTCTGCCTTCTACGATCCTGATATGCTCATTTTCGCGCGCGTGGCGGCAGCGCGGCGCGCGTGTAGCGAGTTCCCACCCGAGCATGAAGAGGCTTTCTGTGTAGTCGATGACCTGGCTGCGGTCCCGCGTGATGGAGAGGTGTCCCACGCTGACGTCCACCTCCTGGCGCTGCAGCATACCCACCAGGCCGGTCCAGCGGCCGTTGGCGTCCAGGCCGCCCCACTCGCCATCCACGGACGGAGACACCGTGTAACTGGCGACATCGCACCATGACCGAGGGATGATCGTGTCAGATGGCCCAGTGTCGTGATAACTACGTGTATCACGGCACTGATGCCTGCCTGATACCTACGTTTAAAGAAGCTAGGTATCATTGCCAGTGCAGGAGTCTCGACTATGGCAATAACAGGCGATATCTGCCTTTCGTCCCACTCACTTGAAGTTCAGGACGTTCGCGAGAAGTTTCCAGATCTCGCCCATGTATCCGCCCACGTCAGGTACCGGCGTTTGCAGGAACGTGGTCACGGGAGCACCCTGTGAACGGACGCATCTTGATCAGAGGGCGAACGGACACTGCAATGGGTGGCTGCGGCGAGGAAGTATGAGGAAGTAAATATGAGGAAGTTGCTGTGGAGCTCCTTGCACTGATGGGATATTTCACGTCATATCAGGACACATTGCTTGATGAAGTCACTTTCTGCTTGGTAGCAATGGTAGCCCATGAGCTGAGTTGGAGGGAAACGTAAAAATGGGCCCGTCATTTGCCTTCCGCGCAGGCCCTGGCCTTTGGCTAAGCCTTGACTCTTCCTGAGTAGTGAGAAGTCTTGAGTTGGGACTCCGAGCTCAGTTCTCTCCCCGTCTCACCTCTTTGGTGGCAACTCTGAGCGTCAAACCGCTGAAGTCTCTGCGTCTCTCGTAGATGGAGTGGTTGTCCCAGCTCTGTGCGCCGGTGTCTGGGTACCAGCGTCCCAGGGAGTGTCGGTGGGCGGTCAGGCCGGGCGCCAGGTGGTAGATCTCCATCAGCTCCACATGAGTCACCGGGCCCGACTCGGAGTCACAGGCTGAGTCGCCGACGGAGGAGCTGCTGGACTCCCGCCAAATTTCGGCGATCGTCACCTACAGACAGGAGGGAAGCTGGGTCACATGGAGGCGCGATGGGGTCAGGTCAGCTTAGGCCAGCTGGTCAGCTTGAAGTGCAGAATGGAATCAGACCAGTTTAGGCGAGGTCGGCTGAAGGCACATTAATGTCATTCGGTCAGCTTACAGATCATCTATAGGCGGGCTGAGATCAGAGGCTAGTTTTATCAACAGAAATCGCTGGCTGATGGTATTTTTTGCCCATTTTTTTTAAATGCAATTCATTATTTTGCCTAAAGGCACACCCGACTTTCGCAAACCACGCGAGAAAAATATAAACGCTGCTGTAAGCAAACGCATCAGCCGGCCTAACTGATGTTTTCACATCGTTGCTATTATTCTTTTCGCGTGGTTTGTTTTACATTTAACTTGTGGATGGAAGACTGCATGAAATAGAAAAGCCAGCAGCCGGCGATTTTTCTGTAGGCAAACCTGGCCTCAGGTCAGATAAGACCACCTCAAATGGATACCTACCATGTGGTCTCCTTTTGAACAGCCCTCCCGCTGCAGCGCAGGAGCTGCTCGGGAGCACTACGCTCGCTACTCATTTACATTTTTAACCGTAAGCTGTGGACAAGCATATCCGTGGAACACATCACACCATAAGCTGATGCGGGAAGTAGTGGAACGCAACCTTGCAGTTCAAGTCGCAGTACCCTGGGAGAGCATTAGTGCAAATCCAGCACTAACATAGAGTTTGAGACCATAACACTTATTAGGCAAAAAAAAAAAATCAAGATAGTATTGTATTGTCATTTACGACTGCGTCGTCTCGTGTAATAAATCTTCTGAGATCATAGACCATGTGCTTTATGCATTATTACTGTGTTATTCTACTTTGCCGCTGCACCTCAAGCTATGACTGATTTATTCATTTAGCCCTTGGCCCCACCATATTTCGTGCCGGATTTAGCCATAGTCAAATAACTGCGCCACCCTATTATATATGGTAAATGTCGCATTTTACCAAATTGCAGCATGCCATTTGTCGCTTTGATGGCGTTTGCTAAGACAGCGTATAAATAAGTTGTAAGCAGCTTCGTGTTCCACGGCTTTCCTCAAATTACTCTTAGCGGTGTCCGTTGTGTGGGACCGCAGCGTCGATTGAGCACTTTGGTCGACCGGCCGTCGTATCCCAGATTATTGCAGCCTATGGCCTGTTTGTGACTTTGTTACGACGCATTTTAGATTACTTAGCGAGCGGCGTATTACGTGGTTGTTGACGGGCATGTAGCGGCGGCTCCAGCGGTCGGTGACGCGGCTGCCGCAGCTCAGTACCAGCCACTCGTGCTGCTCGTCCGAGAGGCCGAACAGGCCGCTGGCGTTCACCTGTCAACAGGCGGGAAGGGTGAACTGTAACCGAACAAGCCACCGTTCATCTGCCGACAGTCAGCGATCGGAAACTGTGACCGTATGCAGGCCACCGCTTACCTGCCGACAATCGGCGACGGGGAATTATAACCGAACAGTCTGCCGTTTGCCCGCCGACAGTCAGTACCCGCCTTTACATAAAGTTTGTTGTAAGTCTCTAGCTCTGCTTGGAACTTTGGAAAACATACTGATTGGTCTCTACAATTTATTAAATGATTTCCCTTCACGCTTGGAAGAGCACTGCATCGATGATTAACCCGCGCCCCACCGGGGTCTGCGTATAACACGCCCTACTGGGGGTACTGGCACGGGGGGGGGGGCTCTTTATAGCCCCCCTCTTAACTCCGAAACTACTGGGCCGATCGTCAAAATTCAAACGGAAAAACTGTCGCGCGAAACGTAATTTTATTTACCTCGATGTCACCGATGACGTCACAGGTCAGGTCAAAGTAAAAATTATTAGCATTTTGACTTGTTCACATTTTGGGCTCTGGCCGCCGTCTTACAAGTCAGATCAGGCTCATTTTTGGTTTACACACTCGTGAACAGATGCTTTAGATACCCTGAGGGTACCAAACCTGTACTTTGATTTTAAGGTCAGGGTCAGGTCATCACAGGTCACGGAAATATTATATCATGCGTCGGTCACGTGACACATGTTTTATGGTCCATTTAGGCCTTAGGTTTCGAATTTGATGTCGTCTGAGACATTCGAGGTCATTTTGAGTCGAATTTAGCTTAGGTCAGGTCACTTTCAGGTCAAAAATGTCAAATTTTGAAGTTAAAACTTTCAACAAAAAAGGTGTCTATTGAATGCAGTTTGAGCTCAGGAACACGATGGTGCTATTAATTTTAGTGTACGTTGTCAAATACGTACTGAAAAATTGATTTGAAAAATCAATATTTGTGATTTTTTGCAATAATACGTATAACTTGGCCATTTTTGAAGATATTTAGCTAAAAATTGCTAGAGTAAGTCATAAGCATACGTTCTATCACATATATTCCGGTTATTTCGAAAAGTCAAAAACTTTTTGAAAAAAAATAGGAAAATATAAATTTTGAATTTTATTATAATTTTTTTCTCGAAATTTTCAAAATTTTTAAAATCCGAGATAGCAGTTTGATAGCGCAGCCTATTCTGAGTCCTCTCATGCAAAGAAAGTGGATCTAACTAAAAAACTGAGCTCTTGGGAGCGATTGCCGTGGTTCAATGTTTTGCGTCGTAGTCGGCCGAACATGACGTCACTCTGACGTCATTTCCGGCCGACCTATGGTAGCTACGAAGTTTATATTTTGACACAAGGTGTCAAATTGATGCAGCCGAAGGCATTGAAAGTTTGTCGTCGATACGTCAAGCGGTTTGGAAGTTATTGCAGAAAAATGGGAGGGGGGCTATGAATAGCCCCCCCCCCCCCAGTGGGGCGCGGGTTAAGCCGGCATATGTTTTGCGCAGCGCTTATGTTATATAGTAGGTGACGTGATAGATCAATAACTTTGTCTACTTACCTTGTCTATAAAACCCATCCCGGCCTCGTCGTCAGAGAGTATGATGTTCATCGCACCATCGCCGTGTGATGAACTCTCCAGCAGTCTTTTGATGTCTTCAATTGAAGTTTCGCTCGATGCATTATTACACACGGCATGATACATCCACTTTTCTCTCAAGTGGTGAATAATAGCCGCAACATTCTCCAGTGAAAATCGATCTGAAAATGGATATACCCGAGGGTTATATCTACATTCTACATATCAATTGAGAGTAATGGGAATCCTAAATCAAACCGATTAATTATTCTGGATCCAGAGAGCAGAGGTCAATCATTCGGATCCACTCTCAATGCACATTGCACAAGTCTGCATGCGACTCAAGACTACACTAGACTAAAAAAAATAAACACAAAGTTCAAGCACCCTCAAGATGCTCTAGATTCGGAAATCTAATTAGTTATTTAAAACGGTTCTCGTTCCGACCAGTGATCTCGTGAACGGCAGTTAAACGCGGGAGTTTGGCATTCTGCCATTAGTCATTTGTCACAGCTCCATTTTCCAATTAAGTATTGCTGGCATTTGCAGACATATCGTCATTGAATTCGTGAAGCTTTCGATTCAACTCGTTCGAAACTTCTAAAATAGGTATCACATCAGCCATAGGGCGTTCGTATATAGAGAGTACGATACACGGTGTGTTTTGCATGCCCCGTTTTCTTCCAAGCCCACTTTCAGCCGTCCGATAATTGTGGTTAATCTCTCGATATTTTTTTGCGATAGGATAGACTAAGGTAAGCAGCAGACATTTTTGCATTCGGCCGGCGTAGTTGTGTGCCATCATCGTCTTATTCTCATTGCATAATGCATGATTTCTCGTTCTATTGACCACCATGTATTTAATTTTTAAACATGCGCAGTCTGATAGATACCAAAACACCGATGGGGTACCAAACCCCGACGCTTATAATACCGATGGTTTATTGAGACTTGCTAAAACAGATACCTATATTATATTTCCGAATTGACCAACACATTTTGAAATCAATTGGGCATCGATGTAAAAATCGCAAGCAGCTAATTACGAAAAATGCAGTGAAAACGATATCGAAAACGCACTAACGCTAATTAGTAGCATGAAAATTATAGAGCGTTTTGCACAATTGATCTTGATTTCACTTGGCGCCAATTTCAGTGGCTCGAAAAGTTTGAGTTCCGACTACGGAGTTTTCAATGGGGTTGGGAACTCGATTTTTTAAGAATGCATGAAAATGATCAAACTATTTTCACAGAATTTATGGTGCATACCATTGCCTCATAAAATCAATAAGCTGAGAGAAATGGGGGAAGAAAGATAGGAAACTTGTTTTGAAAAGTTCTTGAAAAAAGATGCTCTTGATGCTGTTACGTCACATGTCACCTTCTGCGGTTGACAAATAATGGCGCATCTGGCGCACCACAGATTGCATGTTATATCAATGGGTGAAAGATGTTGTTTGCTTCACGGTGACTATAAATAGTTTGCTTCACTCTGCCATTCGCGCTGTTTTTAACTTTAAATTATGCTAAAACATTTACGGATGAAATGTTCAGTGTCAAAAATTGATGTGTCTGCCGTGTACTATATTCCCACTTAACATGAGCGCGTGATAAACATTTTATGTACCTCGAATTTTCAAATGATAAAGATGATGAATCGGAGGATACTGAAAAGCAAAAGCTCATTCCAATATTTGGACTATTTTGCGATTAAAATGTTTACATTCCTGTCATCTTATTGATCATTTATTTGTTCTTTTTTATGAAAATAACTTAAGGCGTTGAGAACCGAGGTAATTTCTATCTACCGTGCCTTAACTTACCAGCAACAGCAATCTATCTACGCCCTACGGTGGCAAGGGAAACTGTGAAAGAAGCGTAAGATGGATTCTAAACAATTCTTTTGTGATATACTGAAGGGCAAAGTGCAGAGAGGAGCGTACAAGTCCTGTTTTGTGCCAGGCTGTTGCAGTAGGGCTTATGAAACTCCGAAAACGATCTTCGTTCATGTCCCGAACAACATTACCCTGAGGAGATGATCGTCTGCAATAGCAGGAAGAGCTGATGCAAGTACTTTGAAATCCACTATCAAGTCGGTGCTATTGTTGTAATGATCACTGTGAGGTGAGATATTTTGTGCAAGGGCTGAGTGTAATGCCCAGGAAATGACCTCCATTCGCCCCCTGACCGGTCAGGGTTATAAAATTTGAGTGGATGGCGGTCCGTTTGGGGTTCAGATGTCAATTGTATTTTGTTACTGTCAAACAATACATGTTATGCTGGCAGCGAATGTGTGTAACGTCGTTTTTCGAAACAGAAGTTAGAACTGTAACGGCAGAGTGCTTGCTGGTCTCATCGTAAGTATTGTAAGTGTTGTAAGCAAAAGCATTGTCAATATTGTAAGTATTGTGAGCATTGATGTATGGTAGATATCACCTCACATGATCTCGGCTCAGATAACCCTCTCCGGTGTCCCTGTCAGTAAATGGCACCTGGATCATTACCTACAGATAAGATAATTTGTCATAATTCTTAAAGAATTTAATGGTTTTGACTCGTTTACTCGAGGTTCAGGTCGCATTTCAATACTTTTCCATAGGCTTGCAATGTAAAGGTCACGACTCTGACCTAACCTCAGGTCACAGATCAAAAATTCTGAGATATACAAACGACACATACTGCAGGTACTGTTTTGAAGACTTGATGAGAGGAAATAACTTCGTGAAAAACTCAAGCTCTGACGTGTTTGCAAACTTTTCTGAGGTGGGGTCAACAAACTCGCTCTGGTTACCTGACCTGACCCAGCATTTTTTTTTTTTTTGCTGAGATGTGCGCAATGAGCATTTAGGAAAAGTCACCAAATATGAGCTTAATGTCTCGCGGCGTTTGGCAATTGTACAAGAAAATCCTAAAAGGTCTCCCCGTCCGAAATAGGGTTAATGTGTATATGAAGAAATGCAGATGCCAAACATACCCAGATCTAAGACTGCAGAGTGCAGTTCCCAGCGCCGCTGCAACGTTTTTAAAACAAACCTACATAGAACATACAAACATGTTTATTTGCATCTGTTTTGGATAATAGCAACTCATGGCACCATCACCCGCGATAACTGTTAGGATTTGAGATATATTTTTGTTTAGGCCATTAGTTTGGCTGTAATGTTTATTAATATTAGTTGGGCGGAGTTTGGTAGTTTTTTTTTTATTTAACCCATTTACGCCCTTCGTTGCGTTTTCGCAACACAAGCAAGCGTCGACGTGATCAAATCTTGAGAAGTGTGTAATGGCGTCTCACCGATGAGACAAGTTTCAGCGCGTTTAGCATGGTTGTGCGCATGATGCTACGCAGTTACAAGTCTGTGCGGCCGGTAACTTACCGTCCAGAGCTCCCAGAGGGAAGTCGAAGGTCCCGTCAGTGATGACGTCACGAAAACCAAAATAAGTAGATTAAGTGATTAATTATATCGCAATGAATAATGTGTGAACATATTCTGCAGAGTCCCTACAATAACTAGAATATGCATTTTATTAACAAATTATGCTGCAAATAGGGTTTGTGACTATTTTCAAATATGACTACAGTCGTGTTGCGGTAACGCAACGTTGGGCACATCGGAAAGACAGGGGTGTTGCGAAAACGCAACGAGGGGCAAATTGGCAGTGCAGCGGAAGTATAGGAACATCAAATAGACTTCACTTGTGGTACGCTGTGGGTTCTTTCCTTCTCTCCCCAATCTTCCTCCCTCTCTTCCACGCTTCCCCAACTCTCTCTCCTTCCCTCCCTCTCTCCCTCCCCTCTCTCCCTCCCCCTCTCTCCATCCCCCTCTCTCCCTCCCCCTCTCTCTCTCTCCCTCCCTCTCTCTCTCTCTCTCTCTCTCTCTCTCTCTCTCTCTCTCTCTCTCTCTCTCTCTCTCTCGTTTTGTAGTTGTGAGGGACGTGTAGGTATGTAAAGTGCAAGGTGCATTTGCACGTGAATGTTGCGACACGTTTCACATTAACTCACTTAAACAGCTATCAAACACTCATTTCTTTTTCTCTCGCAGATTATCGGGCTGTTCACTAACTGCAATGGGTTTTCGAGCATCTGAAAATCGCATGGTAGGAAAAGGACCTGCACATCAAACGGTCGGCGATGCTAACGGAGCTGAGAGATAGCGAGGTACTTTGAAAATTGGATCTACTATGTACTAGATAATGGGGACGTAGTCTGGTATCAGACGACAGATAGGCATTGTCATTCTCTGGATACAATCCGCTGACCCTTACGTTAGAAAAGATAACACCTAGAGTCGGCAAATGTGGGATATGCTCCCTCGGGGGGGGGGGGGGCAACAGACCCCTTCGGCAGGGGTGATGAGGGCATCTGGGAAAATAATAGTTTATTTTTAGAATTCATGGTTTGCACGGATTGATAAGGTGGTTGATGTGAAGCATTGCTTGTTGACTGAGGGTAGGCCTGTCTAATCAGACCATTTTAGAGCTAGAAGCATTATTGGAATTATAGGGAAAACATTGGTCTGAGCGGGCATGGTGAATCGTCGAGGCTGAGCCCATCCATCCAGGCCACCCATGAACCATCCCCACCCCCTTCCCAAGCACTTACTGCATCCGGCTACAGACCTGTGCTCCTATGGGAGCTGCTCGAATGCGATATAGTTGCCCGTCCAGCTCGAAACAGGGGTTGAGGCATGGAGGAGAAGGATTCTACTATCCTGAAGATGGAAAGGACGGATTAACGGAACACTTGGAAAGTGTGAACTGCGTCGAATCACTGGTCTGCCCTGGCATTGTCTCGAGAGAGAGGTTACAAGTGAAGGTCGCTGAGAGTGGGACAATGACAATTTTGTATTAGGTGTAAAAGTGATAAAATGGGTCCTGGGAGACACTTTAAGCCGAGTTGTTATGACGCGCTACGCCTTACGCGGGTAATTTGTGAAAGCCGGATAGGTTCTTTTTTTTGCTAAGAGTAGGCATGACTACCCTGTATTTGAATTTAACTTTACTCCTAGGAAAGTGGTTAACAATGGTATTGCGGATAGGCGCTTAGGCGAGGCACAGGTTTACTCCCAATCCTTGGTTAAATTGTTTTCTGTTTGGGGTTCTCATATGATAGGGTAATGGGCTAATGGCTCTGTCTAGCTTCCAAAAAGAAAGCACCGCCCAGGGTACGTGCCAACCACTAGGTACTTTAAATGGACAATTGTTGTTGATAATGACCGTTTGTTGCCATCTCCCCGTTCGCGAACCCTTAAGTTATGCTCCCTCATTCAGGCTCTTAGGCGGGTAATAAAGCATGAGGGATGTGGGTTCCGCATTCTCCAGCAATATTTGTCAACAGTTGGTGAATTATATGTTAAAA